TTATTAAATAGACACAACATCAAAATTTTTTCTTCTACACGTGGTCTTTTCACTATTAATATCCTCAATAATATTTAAACAGATGCTTTCGAGTGTAAATAATTAATTTCAATGAAAAATGATACTGATAAAACCAAGGAAATTCCCAAATGATAACATCTAGAAAATTACGTTTGATTATGAAAGAAACACTTTGTGATAGTTAATCAATATGTCTTAACGTTTTTAATTTTTATCACACATTTCGGATTTTCATATCATAGTTAAGAGTGTTAAATTTCAAGAAAATATAATTACTCTCTATTAATGATGGAAATAAAAAAAAGTAGTTTAAGTAAATAGATTTAAAATTTTTATTATTATTATAAACTTGGAGATAAAAAATATTTGATTTTTTAAAAAAAGTAGTTTTTGCTTTTTATGAGGTACGAAATGACAAATAATGATTTGTTTATTGTCCATAAATCTTTATCTGTAATAAAAAAAACGTGTATAGTCTGAATAAATAAATTATCCTATCTATGAAAATTTATTGGATAAGTCAGCAATAGAGTCAGTATTTCATCATAATAATGAACTAATAAATCTTAACAGAAACAGTTTTTGCAAATTTATCAATTAACAAGAATGCCATTTATAGTCGACTTTTTCTGCTTGGTATACATTAGAAGTAGTTGAAACTGTGCTCATAATTTCCTCGGTTTTCAACTATCTTAATCATTCCTAGACACTAATAACAAACATTTCAATGTCTTGGCGTTGATAAAAAAATTGTTTCGATTGATTATCAGAATTGGAATGATTGGAATATTTTCTGTAGACAAATTTCTGATGACTAACGTCAGAAGTATTGGGAAAATTTGGCTTCAATTTCACTGCAGTAAAGATTTTTTAGAGTCGACGACTGAGAGGTGCAGACAAGTGGGAATAAAAATTGGCAAAAGAAGTAATAACAGATAGAATCAAGTATTCTAAAAACCAGTTGAAGTTGAAAAATAATATGATAAAAAGCAATATAATCTTTTATCATGGAGGTCCGAGAATGCATCCGCTTTTACAATAGGGTCAGATGAAGCTTATTTCGTCATGAAATCGGAGCGTTCCGGCCCCACTACACGGGGACCTTGACTACTATGTCACGATGACGTCTGATACACGCGCACTTTTGCTACAGCCCTGAGGCAGCAAACAGGAACACGACGATTATGTAGCGAATGAATGAAATCAAGTGAGTACTCACTTTGGCTTTGAAAATCTTTCAGAGTGACAAAGATAAAGATAATCATGAATGACCGGATTAGTAGTATGTTTAAATGATTCTCAATGAAATATGTTTACATAATTTTTCACAGCACTCGAGGCCTACTATTTTTATTTTTTTTCTTTCAAGTATCTTATTTGATTTAATCGGTCTTAAATATTCTTCACTTCCTGCTATGGATATGTAATCAGTTGTTTTCAATCTTTAGATAAAGATTTTATGAAGGAAGTGAAACGGATGCTTGTAAAGTCTAAACTATCAATCGCCTGAACTTTAAACAAATGGCTTTAACTAGATGCCAAGATGTAATGGTATTGGAATATTTATAAATAGATTCGAGTTGAAAATACACAGTTTTAAGGAAAGAATTATTTTGGAAAATGCTTGTAATTATTTTTATCTATTGTATAAGTAGTTTTATTAGAATTAAAAGTAAGTGCACATGTGTTTTTCACCAAGAATTAATTCACATGATAGAAATTGGATTGGATTGATCAAAAATCAACTTTTAATACATTGACGGGTACTAGATCAATGAGTACTATTAATTTCTCAATAATTATTCTATATTGGAAATCAGATTTATTGATTCAACTTCCTTAGAACTCGAACCCAGCCAGAAATGTTTTCCATCGAAGTCACTTTTACACTAAGCCACTGACCAAGAAAAATTCTGATTATTTCGTAATTATTGTACATTTTGAGAGTTGGTAATACTACTTAATCAACTAATTAGTTAATTGACCATGCTTAAACTTGCCCTTAATCGGAACAAGCTCAACATTTGAATGTGGTAATTCTCAACAGCTTAAGGAAGTTTGATCATTTACAAAAAAAAATACCATGTACGATACTTATAAAATTTTAATGAGACGTTCATTAATACAATTGAAAGTAATAAAATTTAAAAAAAAATTGTTTTTAATTAAAGTTGCCATGTTCTTCTGAAAGTCACGTAATTTATTTCCAAACTTATAATATTGTCTGGAATGACAAAGTAGTTTTGATGAAAAATCACATGACTTCCAAAAGAGCATGAGTCTGAGGATGAATTTTAATCATCAGTAACTAATGGAAAGCAATGTAAAAATTAAACAGCCTTATTAAAATTTTTTAAACATCTTACAATCTAACCTCATCAAGAATTCAGTCTAATTTAATTGTAGCCCAAAGAAGGCCTTATCGAAGGTTCGTTAGAAAAGTAGATGTTTCATAGAAGTAAAGTTAAATTTATTTTTAAATATCTTCAATTTGATAACAAATATTTTTCTATTACGCTCCAACTGTGTTGGAATTAGAAATCGAACAGTTGCTACTTAATAACTCAATGTTTACATAAAAATATGGAGCTTATCACTGACATTGTTAACTTTTCAATTATATTTCGTTCATTGTAAACCTATAAGAGTACAAAATTATCGACAACATTTGCTTAAAACAGCCGAAAAAAAATAAATAAAAAATATACGATAACATGTTTATAACGATATAAATAAATTTTATAAATAATCTCATAAAATACATTACATTGTTTAGTGCTGAAAACTTTTCATAGGCATCCAGAGTGGATACTCTGATTTATTATTATTCACATAATTGACACACTAAATAAATGGATCTTAAAAACTATATTTACAAACATATATCCAAATTAAAAATAATTTTGCATTAATTAAAAAAAAAAAAAATGGTACCATATGCTCTGAATATCACTCTGAAATGACATCGAATTTGAATACAAACTAGATTTCACTTCTAGAATAATAAATATTCTAATTGGTCAAAATAATCAATAATGAAATTTAATCTCGAGGCTATTTGATAGTATAAATTTTTTTGTAATCATTTAATTTTCATTTAACTCGACATTAACACTTTTATTATTTCAACAAGTTGTTAATTGAATTTTTCAGGAATTCTGTGTGCTGTGTTTAAATAATGGCAATCGATTGAATACAATTAGTTGAAAGTTAATTTTAATGAGAAATAGACTATTTGAGTTGTTTTCAACTAAATAGAATGAAAGTAAAAATATAAGTAATTCGATGAGTCATTAGATTTGGTTGCATCCCTATTCTAATCCAACTTCCGCTTCTTTTTGTGACAGCATGACAAAGTAAAGCATGAAAGACGTTCTCGACAGTCTGAAGGAAAGAGAAAGAAATACGGGAAAAGGAAAAAAAATATATCAGAGTGTGAGGAAAAAGGTCGTTGACTTTGTTGGCAGGACTTGTTTTGCTTCTGTGAAACACGACGAGTCACTTGAGGAATTTGTAAAAAAACCAACCGAGCGTTTTTCTTTTAATTTCATAATTTTGTAATTACCACTCTCATCTCACTCAGTATTTCATATATATTACTTTACGTTACATATCATGTAATAAAATTATACTTGTATTACAAGAGGATGTTCCTCTTATTCCAACGGGATTAATATTTGTCCTTTTCTCTGTCATGGTAATAATTTCGAGCCAAGATATCTTGTAGAAAATATTTGACATCAATTCACTAGTGAGACAAACAATATTCCTGCCAGAGTAAATAATGCCCTGACATACATTTTGTTAGAGCATCAACAAATTTGTATTTGGCATCGTCGGATCTTTTTTTAAGCCATTGAAGAATGCAAAGAATAAATATTTGTCACAATAAAATTTTATAATATGAACAAGTGCATTCATTTAACATCTGCAGTTGATAACAAATCGATTACACTTTAGTTATCTTGTCTACCATCTTCATTATAATTAATAGTATAGAATCTATTATAAATTACTGCCTATAGGAATTTCAGTCATCTTTACACCATTATATTTATGGCTATTTCAAATTAATCATTAATTATTATCACTAATATCGTTAATGTTAAAACTTTAAATGTTATTTATAAAACTAGAGTTTTAACAAAAACAAATAATAGTAAAAAATAAAAAAATGTTTCTAGAACTTTTAAAAATAATCAAATGTAATATATAAGTTGTTTCATAATTATTCCTATCAATGCCAACTCATGGAAAACATTTTAAATCTCATGGTTGACTAAAGTTTTCTAATAAAAATAATGAATTGCTTAATCGTTATTTTGCTCCAATATTGTTTTTCTCAAATAAATTTCATGAATTTTTAAATATTTCTCAAAATTGCTACATTATTTGTGCAAACATAACATTTTACATTTTATTTATCAATTTTTTTACTTACAATAATGATTCTTGTACATTGAAATTATAATAATAAAATACTTTATTTAGTATGATATTATATTTATCAGAATTTTTAATACAAACATCTTGAATTTTCTAGAAAAAAAGTTAATTAAAAGAAAAAATTTTTTTTTTACAAATTCACGTCTTAATTAATTAATTTCCTAATAAACAAATGTACCACAAAAGAAGGAAATGATTAAAAAAAGGCTTATCTAATCGTATTGAAAAAAAATAAACAAATAAATAAATATAATAGCCAAGGAGTGTAATTTATTAGACGAGTGTTGACTAAACAGCGAAATTTGTTAGATTAATTGTTGATTTGGAGCTAGATGTCCTTGTCTATTCCTCTTTACGTCAGCTTATCAAAGGAGGATAAGAGGATAAGAGTCAAGAAGAGCGGAAGGGGAATTGAGAAAGGTGCAAGAAGGGGAAGTGGAGTATTCCCACTCTTTACTCAACATCCCTACTCCATTTACGGTCATCTCCCACCCAATTTCTCCTCCACCACTGCTATGTAAGTCACCCACATGTTACCCAGCGGTTTCAGTCTCGCAGCGACATTCGGGAGTGATAGATCGCGGACGGAGAGAGACGATTATTTAAGGAGAAAGGAATTTACAAGAAAAAAAAACAAACGAAAGCTACGTTAAAATAGCACACGAGATTCACGAACAGCCGAACTAGTTGGATTATTTTATCCTCTGTCATCATATCATCATCGGAATTGTAAAATATTTTCATCAGTCCGTTCGGTTATACATCTTTTACTTGAATTGTTATTTCCTATAGACCCTCTCGTCCCGGTCCTTAATAATATTTTTTTTACTTTTATATCAACGTGTGAGTTATTGTGAGATAAGATTTTATCGAGTGTGAACCAAAGTTAATTCATAGTTTTTTATAACTGCTTCGCGAAGAGAAAGGAAAGAGAATAACTAAAAGAAAAAATTGATTGAAGAGAAAACTTGATAAAAAATCAAAGTTTAATTGATCAATTAAATAATTAACTTGATATTAATATAATATTAAAAAAAAAAAAAATAAGAAGTGTGGTTATCTTGTCTTTACTTTAAAATAAAAATTGTTGTGAACATAATTGAGGTGGTGCCGTTTAAGTTTATCCGACGACAAAAATATATATATATCTACGTTTAAAGTCATTTTAAAAGCAACAAAAAATTTAAAGAGCCCATCAGCACACGCCTCTGACACGTGAGTATTTACATCTAACTTGTATCACGTTACGCTTCATCGTCGGCTTGATTTGGTAGCGCATAAACAACTCAACTTATACGGCTGTCGTACTGTGATCTCATTTCTCGAATCTTCGCGAAATAACTTTAAACATTACGCGATGTGACTCTTCTTTTTTTTTTTTACATAGTTTACATTTTTAATATTTAAATGGTCTCATTGCTTATCTTATGTTGGTTTAAAATTATGATGAAGTGATAGCTTATTTAAATCCGTAATAATTATTATAAGTCAATAATATTTCATCATATTAATATTGAATATTAAGTGTTGGAAAAAAAATTTTGATGATTTATAAAACACAAAAAAAATAATCATTAAAAAATTTCATCATTCAATTTGTACTTCTCCATATTGCCATTGTAAATATTTATACTCCACCTTATTGCATCATATCATCTTTATAATAATTCGTTAAAAAAAAACTACATAGCACTTTTTTATATTTTAAAATAAAAATAACTATAATAAAAAAAAAAATTATTTTATAAATTATAGAGTGATAATGAGTTAGGCAGAACTAGTGTAATTTAAAGTTATCATTTACAAGTGCAAATAACATTGATATCCTCAAACTATGACTAGCAATTTTACACAAAGCGACAACAGGCAAATTCATTTGACAAATAGATATATAGTAAGCTTCCTTCAACTTACGAGAAATAATAAATAAATTAATTGTCAGAGTTTTAAATAGAAGACAAAAGTTGATAAAGAAATAAATAGCAAAGAAAAAAAAAAGATAAAATCGATAAATTGATAAAAATAATATTATTTTAGTGAAAACGCGTGTCTATGAACTTACACGAATATCGCACGTGTTTAACTTATTTCCTGACCTCTGTGACTTGACGATGACAATGAGAATATTTTTTACACGTCTAGATGGACACGATAGTGTTAATTACTCACTGACAATTAGAGTTTGCGTATCTATTAATTCTTGTTTATGCATTTATTTATGTTTCTTTTAATTTATTTTCTGCAGAAATCCATCAATTAATCAGAACTGATTATTTCTTTTTTTGTTTATAAAAAAAAAAGTTGATTTCTGATAACGAACAATTACACGGCTTATTAATTTCTCTACTTTTTCTAAACTTCTCCTATGTGTATTTATCATTATTTACTGTGCAAATGTACAGGAATTCTTTCAGTAAATATAAATTAATAATTTTCCATTGAAGATAGTTGAGAAAGAGGAGAAAGGAAGAATCGATGGTCGATGACGTGGCGCCAGATAATTCGTAATCAGCAATTCAGCTTCGATCGACGAGGTTTAATTATCGTCGTTAATTATTCGCTGATGCTTTTCTGCCCTCTTTCGCGTTAGTTTGCGTGCTTCCTACATGTCATGTGTATTTTTTAACATCTTCATTTCAATATCCATCATCATCGTCGTCACATTTTCATGATGATGATAATAATAATGATCATCCATATTTATTACACATCTTTTTTCATTTCTATACACAACCAATCTCGTAATATATTGAATTTTCTTGTCACTTCTCTGTAAATAAATCAGTCTCATGAACTCGTATGAATGTAACCTTGATTTTTTCCTTTTTTTTCATCTCTCTTTTCATTCGGATTCACGGGCGAGTCGACGGCCTTCACTTATACTTTACTCTCGTGTCAATTTACCTACACAATTGGTGGCAATTTCGCCGTAAAATTTACTTTCAGTCAAAATAAAATCCACTTCAACTTCAATTTTTTTTTTATTTTGTATAAATTTCAATTTCGTAATAATCACAATTTAACGAAATTTTCTGCACAGAAATCCGAGAATTTGCAAAACTAGTTTGCGAATAAAAAAATAAATTACTTGAAAGGAATATTAAACATACTATAAAGATAAACAAATCAGTATATTGATGTAATAGTTTAAAGATTAAGAAAATAAATTTTTTTTCCATTTTTCACAATCAAGTCTACTTGCATAAATGACGTTTCAAGAATATTTCCTCATATTTCTTAGTGTAATAGGGGATTCACGTAAGGGAAATAAATGTGGCATTAGTGCCAGGTCGATATAATTTTTGTTGTAAACACGAGGGGTTGTTTACGAATACAAGGAAGAAACATGATCCAATCTTTATACCCCTCTGATCTCAGCATGACCTAGTGGCCTATTTTCCATACGATTTACACCCCTCGCTATAAGGGATTGAATGCTAAGTCGTGCATTGGGAGTGTATATTTGTGTTTTATCCCAAATAGATAAAGTTTTCGTTAAATTTATTATGATAAAACAGTATAATAAATTATATCAATATCTTTTCAAAGATACACTTCTCAAATGATGCAATAATTCAAATGATTTTAACGAATTTCAATACAACTAAAATCCAATCTCACTTGTCTGTTGTTTATTTAATCAATATTATGGCATTGTAAAGCTTATAATTAAATTAATTAATGGAAAATGTAATTATTAGTAATTATGTTGAAAGCTTGAAAATTATTCTTTGTTATTAATGAGGATAAAATGTATTGTATAATTTTTATTAGATTCATTATACATGATTTAATTAATTATTTTATTTCAAAACATATTAATTATTCTAAAAAAAATTTGCCCATAACTTTAATTACAATCAATAATTTTCTGGCGAATTATTTTTAACTTCTCATTAGGAAGTTTAAAATCAAGGTAATGCAACAAAATTTCAAAAGCATGGAATATTGAATATTTTAACCGAGTTAGCAAAGAATACAGTATGTTGATACATAAGAGTTAAAAGCTGTCATTATATGATATAGATTATTGATAATGTTTTTCATAAAAAAATAATTACTTAATAATAATAATCAAACAAGACTTACTAAATATTAATAAGACAGGTACACAAATAAGGAACATATAAATATTGTTATTCTTTCGATAAAGTTTTTATATAAATTATCTGTTCTGAATTTGCTAAAATATATTTATTTTATCTACAACACAGTATGGATTATTGCATCATAAATGAACATATAAAAAACCTTGATAATCAATTCTCAATCAGTACAATCTAAATAATTGAAAACATCAACTACATTCAGAGTGGTTCTCATTATGACAAGTGATATTATTTATGAATCAAAAGAACAAACTGGCTTTAAAGGATATTGGAGCATCTAATACAATTTACTAGGAAAAAAATTAGTCTCCAAGCACAGTAAAAACACAAACTAGCAATAACATAAAAACAACTAACTTAGAATACTCCAAGCAGCTTGAAGTAGTAAAGTTTCCAGTTGTTTCTAGTGCTATTCATTCAGTGCTTGAGTTTAATGTTAAAATAATATTGAGTTTTTAATATTTCACAATTTATTAAAAACATTTGTTAGTTTTCTAGCTATTTTATTTGATTCACCAATTTTAAGTCCTTGAACACCAGATGATATTAAAGATGTAATACATATCATTCAACAAAACTGTAACAGAATAGAATAAAGACATCAAAAACTATCCATGAAGATCAATAAAGTACTCAACACTTTAAAGATAATCAAAAAATGGATATTTAAATAAAAAAACCAACTGAACGAAGATAAAACTAGATCAAAGAAAAAGTTAAATGATAAAAAGTGTGGTAATTATTTGACTGAGGTGGATAACAATGATAGAAAAGATAAATTATAGAGAAGCTAAAATACTACAAAGATCCAACAAATGTTATTAAATATTAGTATTCTATTTAAAGTGATATTAAATTAAGGAAATAACTCTGGCATTGTTAGTTGGCAATTTTATTTGGCAGATGGTGTAGATCGGGAATTATTGGCAGTGGAAATGGATGATGCTAGCTCTTGCATAATACGAGTGCATTACTGGCTCACTCTCTAATATACTAATCCTTCTGTGCAGCCTTCTCTCCCATTAACGATACAGTATATGGACAGAAAATATGTGGAATGGTTATACTTGTAATCCGCATGGCAACATGTTTATATCGGTATAATTAAAGTTGGCCATGAATTGACAAATACATTCTAGACGTATAACACCAATATAGAGCATCCTCACTTTATGTGTGTATATTATGCAGATAACAAATGTTATGTCTATTACAACTGTCGTCCAACAATTTATATCAATGAACACTTGCGTAGAATTTTTAATCGGAATTTCATTAAACTTTTTTCTTTTATATTAATTAATGGTATGTATAATGTAGAGAGATTAACTTGGTATTTTTATTAATTAACAAAATTTTTCCTAATTTATTGAATTATAAAATGTCATTATGTCTTTTTTAATCAATACAGTTATCACAAAAAATAAATACAGATTTCGCGTTAATTGCCAGGAATAAAATTGTCAGTAATGGAACCGAGCACTTGACTGCACGTCACGAGACTGTGCAAACATACATGGTTAAACGCCTGTAATGATTATCGAAGCAAAACGTCACATGTTTGAACAGTTTGTCAAAGCACTTGTCTCTTTCTTTTACATATTTTATTACCCTAAAAAATTAAACTTTAGGTTTCTGTTTTTTATCTGTTTCTGAATTAGATTGACAAACTAGATTAAATAACAAAACATTGTTTTATAGTAAAAAATATAGTTGACATTTCCTGTTTTGATGATTATTTCATTACAGTGAATTTAAATTGGTACAGTTATGTAAATGCAAAATTGGAGTAGCAATAAATAGGAGAGATATTCAAAAAACTATTTTTTTTTTTGTTAAAAGTTGTTTTGTTATCAACGAACATAAAAAGATCTGTTGAAAGAAACATATTTAAAAATAAACACAATACAATTATTATTATAATTAGAATATTTGATATTCAACAGAATTACTAGCAGCTGACAACTTAGTTATTCAGTAATCATCAATTGGTAGTCAAAAATAAAAACAAATACATTATTTATTTTAAATCGAATGATAGTTTTTTAATTTTCAATTGCTGGACATTAAAAACTCATTCAAAAATTCTAGCACTTCATATCTAAC